CGTCCTCTGATGGGAGTACTGCTGCGGCACTTGCTCAGGAAGTCCTTTCGGCGCCCTATCTTACCGTCGACTTGTGGCATCAACTCTTCGACATATACAAGCTGCACTTCGCTACCGAACTCCCATTTTTGCACCTCCCAACTCTCAAAGTCATCGTTCACGATAAAGAGAACGAGAGGGCGTCAACCGAATCGAATCTGGTTCTATTGGGCATTCTGGCTCTCACTGCAAGATTTCATCCCGACTTGGTCAAAAATATGGCACACCTCACACACGAAAAGATCGCGGACCCCAAGTCTCGCGGTATTCTAACCAGTTCGGCGCCGTCAATGGTCTCAGAGTACTTCGCAAACGCTCTGACAAAGGCACTGGGACAACTCGAATCAGCATTGACATCAGCGACTGTCGTCCGTGTCCAAGCTTTTCTCATGCTGGGCTTGTACAAATGGAGTCAGCCGAATGGCGGCTTGGCTGCATGGATGTATGTTGGCGTTGCCATACAGATGGCTCAAGGCTTGAAATTGGGGTTTGGAGACAAGCCTTTGGGCGGCAAGAGAACTCCGGCCCTGTCTCCTCGGTCAAGTAAATCTGCCCGACCACCCTCCGACTTAAGGGAAGACCAGGAGATCAGGCGTCGTACCATGTTCAGTTGCTTGATACTGGATCGTCTCCTATCCTGCGGATCAGATCGGGTTTCTATGGTTCGGTCCGACGATCTTCAAATCCAGCTGCCATGCACCCAATACGCTTTCGATCTCGGCCGCGTCGTCTATACCGGATTTTTGCTGCAGGTGGAGTATGGCATGAAGCCACCAATCGATGACAGTGTCTTGAGTCGATTCGGGCAACTAGCAGATTTCTGGGGCGATATTACCAAGTACAGTTTCGCGGGCGGCCGCCATACGGAATCCCTTCCGCCGTGGGACCAAGAATCGACTTTCTATCAACTGAATAAAAAGGTAGACGCCTTTTACGCACACCTTCCGGAAGAGCTCACCTGGTCCAGCTCGAACTTTTGGAAACACGACAGTAGCATGTATATATCGCTTCACATGCTGGGTGCCCTATGCAAAATCATGCTGCATCGCGAATACATCCCGTTCATCGCCATCAAATGTTCTGAGCCGGTCGGCCCTCTGGATGAGCCTGTATTCGACCGCGAAACTGTTCCCGACCACTTTTGGGAACGAAGCGCAGAGCAGGTTTTCAAAGCTGGAAGGCATATCATCGACCTCATCTCGACATGCAGAGACAAACTTCCACATTCGTCACTGGTCATATTCGCGATTTGGCAAGCAGCGTTTGTGGGAATATATGCACGGCACTACCCTCACATGGATACTCAAAATCACATAGTCAGCAAACAGGAGATCGAAGAACGGGATTCGGGAAACATGTCTGAGAGCACGCAGACGGGGAACACCAGCATTGCTTTCCAAGCATTGACCAAGGTTGCACCTTACCAAAGCATGGCCTCTAACTACGTCACGTATTTCAAATACATTGATCAGTATCTCACCAAGGTCTGCTCCGATTACACGAATCGAGGTCCGAGGAGGAGTGGGGACGGTCCTCTGACCATTCGGCTGGGTGGAGGTGGCGGCGGACTGAAAGAGTGGAGGGCAAAGGCCGACGAAATTCGGGAGCCATGAGAACATGCAGATAGGAAACACCAGCATCGCTTTCCAAGCATGGACCAAAGTTGCGCCTCACCAAATCATGGCCTCCGATTGCGCCACGCAACATAGATCAGTATCATCTCACTAGGGTCTCGTTGGAGCGCACGTCGAAGGGGTCCCTATCAGGAGTCCTCATTTACCGTCAACACCGCCCCATCCCCCCAGCAGGAGGCATTCCTCACCAGTCACCATCACAAAGCTTCTCGCCAACGCGGGGGTTTCCGCCAGGCAAGGTCTCGATGTTTGATCTCAATGCCGAGACTGTCGATGTTGAATCCTATGTGCACCAGAACCAGGGTCAACGACTTGGCACCATGTTTGGGAACTTAGAGAAGTCTGCTGCAGGAGGTATGTTTTACGCGTCCGACACTGGGGAGGAACGAGTGAACGAGGCGATGCCATATAGTCGTTGCAAGGCGAGCATCAGTCGGACACCAGCGACGTTTTGCATCCAGACAAGGGCTCGGTGGGGATGAATCGCCTGGGCAACGTCTGATTGTAGTGATCGAGTCAGTGATCGTAATATCAGACGCCCAATAGAGTCATCAAAGGCTTTACGTCGACGAAGATTTGTTTTGAATTCTGAGAAGCAGTGTCGACGGAAACATCATTCAGCTAGGAGATGACTAAGTTACTCGAACACAGCACTTTTATCAACATGTATTTCAATATAAAGATCCAGTGAAGGTACATGAATGTGCTAATACATCGATAAAGGGGGAGATGGCCGTTCTTCCAAAAACCAAGTCCAAACATCGTATCTCTGAACCCGCTCAGGAGTACTGATACTAAGGCTGCGGCGGCGGTGCATTTTTCCAAGGATGGCCAACATCGAGCTCAAACTTGGGTGGCTCTCCCTGTTCTCTGGAGTATGCAAACACCGAGTCACCATTGGCCGTAGCGAAGGCACACATTTGGCCGTCTACCTCCACGCGCACCGTCTTAACGACCAAACTCAATAGCTCGTCGGGTCTGAAATTTGGCGCGGATACGTTCTCAAACTTGCACCACCGTATCCGGACATGTGCGAGTGCTGCACCTTGTAGCACCGCGTAGCTCGGCTTACACTTGTCGGTCAAGTGGACCAGGCGTTCTGTCGGGGATTTGGCGCTGAAGTGGTCGTACAGCGAGTGAATATGGATGGAGCCTGCGTTGTAGGAGCTGCGAGCGCGTGGCCATATCTGCCGCTCGCAGGACCTAACCATCCTGGGCGCGAGGCTACAGCCTGCGACATGAGGCTTTGGCGCCGTTCGGTGGAAACCGCAGCGGTGGGATTCTCCTTCTTTGTAATTCTTGTCCGGGGACTTCTGCGGAGAGATGAAGATTCACCATGTCTGCGCTTCGGGTTGGATACATCGTTGAAGGTTGAGCCGGACAGGACCAGCACATCGGCGGCATCGGCAGTCGAAGCCTCGACATTGGAGGAGCTGGAGCCGTCTTCATCGTGATCGCCAGATGCGGGCCTCTTTGGTGAGAGAAAGGCAGACCCATTGAATTGAGTGAACTGGTCAGACTCCAGGGCACAACATGTATGGAGGTTCACAGTGACATTCTGGAGGTCTCTTCACTTGGCCAAGACTTCCATCTGACTCCTTCCTCCATGGGTTTTGAAGATGATGCTATGCCCATTAACTTGCAGCATCGTGGTCCCGCAGTAGTGGTGTTGTCTTTTCGATCGGTGGTTGCCTTGAAGACTGCGTTAGTAAAGTGGGCAGCGCCGCTTGCAGGTATGGAGGACTTACACATTGTTTGCTCTTGCAGATGCGGACAGAATCAACGGGTAGCCGTGCTCGTGGAGACCTTCTACTCAACTGCTAAAACTATCCAAGATAGCGTGGGTACGACTGACGATGGCACTGCAGGACAGCATGCAGAACGCTGGTTGAGAAAGGATTTATACGAAGCAATGGTTACGACTGCCCGGTAACAACAGTCGATGGGTGGGTCAGCCGCGGCACTGAGCCAAGGCGGTGTGCTGCTGCCTGGTGAAGGCGAAATTATGGAATAAGTGACTTCACGACAGGTATAATGGCCAACGTTTGATTAAAACCACTTCTGCTCGCTCTCAGGTCGCCCGGCAAGGTTACATTTCATCAGGTGGGATTTCATTTGAAAGACGCGCAGAAGCATTCGCTGACGCCCCCCCCCCCCCCCCGGGTCGGATGGGTCTGGACTGCACTCTCAGTCCGCCGATGCCGTAGCCCGTCTCGCCCTGCAAGTCTGTCCCTTGGAAACGCCCACCACACTCTACGTGAGTATGCCAATTTGCTGTGTGATGCCATGGCGGCTGGAACGGGACCAATCGACTGTGATGGGCCTTGAGCCTGTCGCTTTTCCAAAGAAAAGCCCGCGTCTGGCTGCAGGCTTTGGCTCGCTGATGCGGCCGAGGGTACATCTCTTGACTAGCACTGCAACATAGCGCAAGGGGTCCGCTGAGTGCCTCACGCACCCTAGACTCGCCCTGGTCTGTTGTCTCTGACCTTTGTCCCCTGCTCAAGTGCCCATGTGCTGTGATCCCTGCCGTGTATCTTTTTGTACCGCAGTAGGTGCGGGTGTTATTCTCTTCGGCACCCCTCTGCGCGCACACCCACCCCTCTCCATCTGATGAGCGTATCCCTGCAAACTATGTTGTAACCGCGCCAGCGCAGGCCACGTCCTAGACTGGGTGGGCTGCAGACTCTAGGACGTGGCCTGCAGACGAGCCGCATTGGGCTCGTCGCAACGTGCCAGGGCCTGGAGGGTGCCAGTTCGTACCTTGCTCTTCACCGACGGACAACGAGAGCAAGACATGCATAAGTAATCTTCTTGTGACAAGAAATCAGTCGTGTCTCTTACAGCTCACTTTCGATAATGTCCTTCCCTTACTCCGTCCAATCGCGGGGCATCCGACGTACCCATCTACGTACGGGATGTGGAGCGCCTCCTGGCAGAATACTTGTCAGACAGTGCATGTCATGGCAAGTTTCCCGCGACGAGAAGATCTAAGAAACTGGCCATACGTTATGGGTTGTTTCAAGCGGTTAACGAGAAGGCGGCCGTCTATCGTTGACATGGGAAGCAAATCAGCCCTAGCAGCCCATTCAAAACCCGACCGACAGTACCAGAAACAAATCTTTCCACAAAAGGGCAGGCAGGCCTTTTGCATACACCCGAGACCATGACAGCCAAAGGCTTCATCGTAAGATGAACAGCTCTATTCTAGACAATGGCGTCTATAACGCCCCAGCTTCGGACCTCGCATGGTCGATAGTGCCCTGTGGTACCCTAGGAGGTGCATACAGCGGTGGTCATAGCGGATACCGGGGTCTTCTCCGGTGTGGACGCTGGGAGTGAGGTTCCAGAGATCCTGATTGTCGATACCTGCAGGTTTGCAGGCTTGTTGCTGCCTAGCCTTGGCCATCCATGGGTAAATTCCTGGTTGATCAGGTTGAAGGAGTGGCCCGGCCGCCTGAACGAAGGCAAAGACCAGTCCGATAGAGTACGGGAACATTTACGTGAAAAACTGAGATGGAGCTGAGCCGTTGGCTTTGGTATGTCGAGTATCGTCAACACTTTTGCCTGGACGACGTGGCTGAGTCTCAATGCGCCACAACCCGCACTCGATATGCGCATGGTTCCAGTGCGGGGTCTACGTACGCCGCAGAACACTAGCTGAAGCTCACTCGTGCATAACAATGATCGATGGCAAGCCTAGGGCCGTTCGGCCCATGATGTTAGCGAGGCCCCAAGTTACCTACGGGATCTCTCAGCTGGTACTCCAGTGGACTAATCACTGACGTGCAAGTCTTCGGATTTCTTTTCCGCGTCATCTATTTTTGGGCGCTTTTCAACACGCAGTTCTGTAGGTATGGACTTTAACTACAAAATTTGCCCTCGTAGAGGATAGAGTATGGACACAAGGGGTGGGATCCAAACGCATGGTGCTCAGAAGGCGCGATTTGGAAGGCAGTGGGTAAGAGCTATGAACTATTTGGAATACAGTCCTCGTTGCCTCGCCGGTAAGTGTAAATATGGCAGAATCAAGCTCGCCAGATTAAGCAGCCTTTGAGAGGGCATGGCTGATGGAGAGACGCTATGGTTGATTAGCAAGAACATCGGCGAGTACAACGTCAGCTGAAAGGTTTCGAGCCATTTTGAGGCGAGTGATAACAAGCAGGAGAGCCAGAAGAGACTTGGCATGCAGGAGGTAGGGCGCTCATGTTGCAAATTGTCAAATAATATTGATTGTCAAATAGCATTGCCAAAGAGGTCTAGCGAAGCGGATTCATCGATGGGCTTCGGAACCGCTGCGGATACCCAGCCGCTACGCCAGCTCAAATAAATAAAGAAGGTAGCCATAACAAAGTTTTACATCATAACTTCAAGGAGGTTAAACAGATGAAGATAAGGATGCGTAGCCAACGCTTGCTAGGCTTAACACCTCCTTGACAAATATCGGAGCCATTGAACTGTGAGTCAAAGCAGGTTATTCTGCCATATAAGCAGTATGGTTGCCTCAAGAGTCGTTCCACGAGTCTTTCGTACTGATCTCGGCTACTTCAGAAGCGGTTTCTCTATTCTCCCTTGGTGGTGATCCCGTGTTTCACGCCGTGGCGAGTTTTATGCGGTTTGCGAAGTCAATCTCGTCTTGACGGGGTGCAGGCGTTCTGCAGTTGAAGGATTGTGCTTCGTCTTTGTCGATGTCGTCGCTGGCGTCATCGACGATGTCAAACACATACCGGCGAATGAGACCGTGGTTGGGCAGCCATATGACGCCGTCTAAGTCGGCGATCGAGGCGTCGTTATATTTAGGCGTGTTCCGAAGTTCCGACCAGTCATCGACGCGACAATCATGCCAGTTAGTCGTTTTGAAGATCCAGACGGGCCTCAGATAGTGAAGGATGAATTGTGTTTCGGAGACGAAGGTGACGTCATTGATATCATTCAGCTGACCATGAAGGAAGTTGTCGACTTTCTCATACGCTTTCTTGGCCTGTTCGTTCAGTTGTTCGGAGAAAACGACGGCCTCGATACAGAACTGTTGTCCTTCCGCTTCTAGCTCTTTTGCCACCGAGCCATCGTTCTCCGTTGATTCAGGCTCCAGGTGGGTTGACTTGCCCCAAAACGACTTTTTCTTCATCTCACGCATCTCCATCAACGCTTGCTGGCCTTCGGTTTGGCACCTTCTGATGGTATCTACCTCGGCTGGCTCCAGCCGCGTGCCCAGCAAGAAGGTGCACGTGACAGGGTAGACTTGCTTGGAAGTGAGTTGACGCTTGTAGCTGCTGACAGCCATCTGGTAGATGAATGATGTGTTGTTCAGCAGCTTTGGTTGGTTATGCGATGCCTTGTTCGCTGCTTTGTAAAGCGATTGTAGATTGCGGAACGTGAGCTGACTACTGGGCCATCCATGCCAGAATCCCTTTAGATTTTCTCTGGTGAATGCCAACAGCTTGACCAATCGCTCATCCTTCGTATCTGTCTTGAGGAAATTCTCTTCGTTTTTGATGAAAGTTTCCATACCTTGGTCAGCCAGCGCAACCTTGTGTTGCTTGATGAGCTCGCAGGCTTGTAGATAAGTTTGGGCATTAAAAGTTCCATCAGAGATTTTAGCGTGTTGAGTTCTGGGTCAGAAAGCTGCTCGGTATCGGGGTTCGGAAGCGTTGTGAAATAGAAGGTCATGTTGCTGCGAAGCGCCTTTCCGACCAGTAATAAGATGGTGGCATGGAGAAGTATGGCATTCCTCGTGACTGGACGAAGTGTGTAAGCCGAGTCAAGCCAAATCTGTCCATGGCGGTCATTCAGAGAGCCCCAGGCACCCTTGTGACCCCAAAGAGCGAGCTTGGCTGCCTCCTTGAGTATGTTCAGGATAACGATGACTCCGGCCGGAAATTTTCTGAACCCCGGGGGAAGCGTCTCCGGTATTTCCTGGTACATCGGCGGCGCCTCAGAGAAAACTTGAAGCGTGAAATCTGGTTTGTTATGACTTCGTGGTGGCTGGTGTGGATCCGCGTTCGGAACAAGGCCATCTTGTGTGGGCTCTGGCGCCTTTTTCTCTACCAGTAAGCTGCGGTTTGGTGTAATGGAGTGAGTGGGCAACATTGTCGTGTTCTCAGCATCATCTTGTTTAGAACAGCAGCTACCCATATCGAAAGGCTTGTAGAAGATGTCTTGCAAGAGAAGTTGAAATAAAAGTTTGCAAAGATCGAAATGAAGGCTTATAAACGATGGGTCGTTGGCTTCCAAGGGTTGCCAATAGTTACTGATGAGAACTTTGACTTGTTGGTAGGGTTTTCATTGTTTGCCTGAACGAAGCGAGAGAAGCGGGCGATTTAAGTGTTTCTGCGCACAAGTACCCTCGTCCACAGACACCAAACTCCAGCGTGTAGGGCTATGAGAAGAGCCGGGCGTTAATCAGGGCACTGCCAGAACCCAGTGTCAGGGCCGTTGGAATAGGACTCGCTAACGAGCCCCTGTCGGCCTTGTCAAGGCAGAACCCGAGCGCCGCGCAAGGCAGATACGCCAGCATACCGATCAGTGCACCTCAACTTAGTTTTGTTAGCCTAGGCACCCAATATTCAACCCTATTATCTGCCCTAGTGATCTCACGCCCCGCAAGACGAGCATATGGTCAGTTTTGATCTCGATAGGAATACGCCTAGTCGATCGGCGATGACAACCTGGCAAGCCGTGCACTGCTGCGCCGCGCTCAACTATTTCCATCAGGGACCACGGGGTCTGGCAAAAGTAGTGTCTTGGGTAGCAGCTAACGGCCGACCATACTACTCAAAGGGGGTGTCTTGTCTCGTTTCCAACACAAGCAAAGCAGATTCAAAGACGACACCGCGCGGATGTCCTGGGTATGGAGTCCGGCAACACTACTCCACAAATGAGACGTGCATAGCCAGAGGTTTGTGTACTTCCTCGCTCTCCATCAAGGGGCCGGCATCCTTGAGCATCTGCTGGTCGTTTGCGTGAGCATATCCAGTGAACAGGAATCATTTGGCGTTGCTGAGCTCGTGGAACACTTTGTCAACATCCAGGCGCGCTTTCGTAGAGCCGCTCAAAAAGCGACCGAAGGTTCAGTCCGCCTTGTCGTCCATCCATTGCGTGGTTTGGTTCGTGCATTGTAATGAAAGTTACATGCGTCTTCAAATCCGGCTTATTGTCGCGTACGCCACAAATCAGATCGAATAGGAAATTCTGGATGGAAATACGTCGCTATTCGTAGTTATTGTGGCGATGGCCTGGGTGCGATGCTGAACGGACCATTGCAAGCTCAGCTGTCTGCGAATGCCGTATGCGCTGGAGAGAAGCATGGGCAACGAAAAAAAGTAGACACAAACAAGAAAGAGGGTGGTGATGACGAGGGGAGCTGGGCGGCAACCGGTCGGCGACGAACGATGTCCGTCCCTGCCACCCGCCAGGACGAGAAACTTGAGTCCGCGATGAGTGTGGCTGGGGGGGGGCACGCTGCGAGCACGCTGCGATATAGGCAATACAGGGGCGCCGAATCATGAGGTGGTCTGCCATGTGGGCTGCCTACATATGCACAATCATACCATTTAGCTAGCAATGCATTCCGAGTCTGCTCCATAAAACTGCGCGGTACTTTTTAAGCTGCCACCCTTACTCCGCTTTCTGAGTATGATTTCTGTCATCACAGGCATATTGGCAGTCTGGCAGGTAGCCGCTCAAGGGACTCTGGCACAGTATAGTGAGTCAATGATATACGATCATATCATGTCGAGTAAGGAGAATCACGAGTCTCAACAGTGCAGCCAGGAACTCATCAGCTACTTGCATGTCTTGAAGTCTAAGAAGAATAATATAGTATTAGCCTGTGTAGGTGCAACATATTCTTTTAAAATCAATTTCAAAGCCCACAGTACTGTCACGGAGAGGTTAGCCAGCCCTGCTTAGGTTCACATCGTACTGTACCAGACGAACATTGGAAGGACTAATGAATGGCCGCTCTTGATGGCTGAGGATAGTGTCAGGACAGGCGGCCATTAACTCTGTCTCCTGAGTGGCCGGAGACCACGGGACCTAGTGCATGGCGGATGGGCGTCGGTGGTTGGTCTTCTGCGCATCTGTCGTAGCCAGCACACGACAGCGAGAAAGCGGTCGTCTAACGTTGATACAGGAAGTACAGCCTGGCGTAAAGCAGAGGTCTACGATGGTGTCCAGTCGTGTGGCTGTCGTCTGGCATACCAACCGATCCAACCCGTTGTTTCTGAGATGCGCGTATAGCAGCCCATCAGAATCCTAACCAAAGGTAACAGAAACGAATCTTTCCGCGAAAGGGCAGCCAAACCTCTTACATACCCCAAGACAACGACTACCAACGGTTTCGTCGGAACCCTAACAGCTCTGCTCTATACAATTGCGTCCATAACGCGCGGGCGTCGGACCTCGCATGGTGCAGTACCACAGGAGATGCACACAGCGGGTGTCATAGCAGATGCCGGGTTCTCCTCCGGTGTGGACGCCGGGTGTGGGATCGCAGGTATCCCACAACACAGTACGTAAGTTGGAAAGTCACACCATGATCGTGAAGACCACACACCTCATTGTATTGTTCGTCAATTTCAGACGAGGAACAGTGAGATCTCATCGCGTCAATGGACAATTGTTGACTACTCAGAGAATCTTCAAGGAGCATCGGGAGGACAAAATCAGGGGCTGGAGGAAGGCGGCTGTCTTCGGCCAGCTCGCTCAGCAGATTGCCGAAAACAGCGTTGGTGTTGAGGACCTTCGCTGGGCGAGATTACGGTTCTCCAGGAATGGAGCCATATCCTTGGCTTGCAAGGTTATGATCGAAGACGCGCATGGGCATTCGATCCCCATGCTCGCAGTTACTCGAGTCGCCGTCCCAGCACATCGTTACAAGTAACGAACACTTCCTCGCACAAAGAAACGGTGAAACCCTTGGTTAAAGGTTTTCACTTCATTGCACCTCCGCCACCTATGGATAATTATCCTTGCAACAACATATACGAGCATGGGTGGGCAGTCAGGGGTTAGTAAACCTGCCTGGCGCTCATTGTGCACATTATGTTATGGCTAGTTACAGTACTACGGAAGCGACAAACAAAGGCAGCGGTTAAGTTCAAGGCAAGCATTGGAGCCCTGGGAAGCCCTCTAGCTCAAGACAGGGGAGTATTTACCAATGAAAACAAGACTTTGTCGCGCTAGAAATCTGAAAAGTATAGAGTCATTGTCATCGCCACGCGTCGTGCAATGCCTAGCCTGATGTGATGGCTACTCCCGGAAGGCTTGGGTTGGTGTGCCCGACGCTGCCACGATAACATCTTGGCTTGCCTTGTGCTAGCATTCAGACTTATACAATGCATTAGGGGGCCTTAGTCCATAGATGCATCCTGGAGATGCCCAGGCGCAGACAGGGAGAAACCTGCACAATACAGCGGCAGAGGGCGCGTGAGTCTCGCTAGCTCGAGAATCAATAGGTACGTGCTAGAGGCGGGTTTGAAACTTGGGCCCTGCTTAGCCAATTCAATAAAGGTACTCTGTCATGCACTGCTAGCGCGGAAGGATCGATGCCAGAATACCGAAATGGATTGGCAAGCCTTTGGATGCACCACTTGGCTCATACCTCTTGGTATCTTTCTTCCAAACCTCCAAGCTGGTTTCCATAATCGTATGAGCTTCGTAAAAACACAAACTCAGGGCCACACCATGCCCCTTGTTCTTTGTATCTCAATTCAAAGATGACATGTAAGAAGGACCGGCAGAGGTGAGGGCGCAGCTCACTTTAGCAGTGCGAACGATCGACAAAGCTGGATCGGTCTCGCTTCTTAGAATGTCCAAAGACTTGGTGCTCGCATCAAACCCCAATTTACCAGAGCGTTTCTCAATTTCATGTCGAATCAAGTCTGTGGACCAGTATTTTGGATCACTCGAGTGCTCATCATCGCAATAGGCAACCGGAACCTTACGACACGTCTAGAAAGTAGACTTGCACGGCGCGACCTTTACCGTTATGACTTGAACTATGGAATCATCATTCAAAGTGTCCGAGAGCCTACGCAATGGATCACCAACCTGACGAAACTGAAGAAAATTAAGGAAAACCATTCAATAACTCATAAAGAGGGCTCATACAAAAATTCACAATTTGGCCAATGCCCCCAAAAGTAGATAATTTACCACAAGCCCAGGGCAAGACGAACTCTTATCTAGGCGATTACACATATCACATATTCCACTCACTGATTCTACAAAGCCACGGCAGGCTCACTAGAATTACAAGTATATATTACGCAACGAATAGCATCACAAAAGTGCCGCCAATTTCCAAATAACAGTAGTAAATCCTTACTTGAGGAGACATTTCCCTTTTCTCTATCCAATTTTGTCTAAATATCGGTTTGTTGAACACTCTTCAATCCCGTGTACTGATCTTGGGCGATTGATGCTGTCCCTTGCAAAGTTTGATCGGCTTTTGTGTAAATTTTGTTCATTTGAGCGTTCCAAATGTCTGGCTTGCGGTAGCCGCAGGTTGCACTATTGCTCGGAGATTCCGTAAGACACCGGTATCAAAAGGCCAACTGTTGTGGGAATTGCGTACCGTTTTGGCTGGCAAATTTCCTCCTGTTGTGCCGCTAGTCTCATCACGTTCGTCTGGTATTCGCCATAAGGCAGTACGAGATTCTCATCGTCCGTCATTTAGTGGTGGTGGTGTTGTCGCAGGACTTGGAGAGAGTATGGGTGACGTCAAGAAGAATGAGTGAAATGGCCAAGTTCAGTGGGAGATGAAAATCGAGAAAGGCGGAGACGTTGGAACTTATAAGATACCCTCCGAATGCAACGCAGTGCTCCCACCCGCACGCGGGAGTCAGTCATTCAGATTGTTTAAGGTTATGTTTGCCTTGCCTGCTGCCTGCCTCTGGCGAACCACCAGGCACGTGATAGGAATAGGTGTTCGTCAATCATGCATTGGGGAATCGAGCGACGAGGAGCAATAATTCTAATAAACGATAGTACTCCTTTTGCGGAACCTGCGACCCACCAAACTTTCGTTGCCATAACCTTGAGTATCTGTTTCGACTTACAGGTTCTAGTTCAAGGGGTAGAAGAAGAGCGCAATGCTTGATATTCTTGAACTTATTCAACCTATGGCTAATTGCGGTAGTCTTCGCATCCCGTACAGATACCTACGAAAGCCAAAAACACCGTAGAATACTAAAGCTGATAAGCGCTTAACCCGTATGGCTTGTAGGAAGAAGAATGGTTTTTCTGTAGCTAGCTTGACCAAAAAGTCTTCGTCGGTGAAGTTTTCGTACCAGATCCCACATCCAGCCGCATAGCAGGGTGTATGAGTGCAACAGTGAAAGGGTCTGAGACAGGGACCCTAGGCTAGCGCCTTGATTCCTCAGGCTCCGAATAATGTCCTATCCGATGTTCGCAATATCCATGCCCCTACTATAAATACCCGCATGTGTTCTTGCCCTAGTTGGAGACATTTCGTAGCAATCGTGAATACACGGTATCCTTTTCTCTGTATACAGACAAAGTATATCATGTCAGAAAGCCCTGGACGAGAAAAGACTCGTGAGAGAGTAAGACTCCCGGAATGCTTCGCTTCAGTCCAATGCTGATTCCTCCTTAGAAACGAGTTACTATTGTATGTGATGAATCTTCATCATTGATTACAGCTGATTAATGCCTTTTAGGCATGCTTGGAATGCCGCCGAAATAAAAACAGATGCAATCAGGTATTACCATGCGATAGATGCAAAAGGCGAGGTGTCACATGCCACTATGCCGACCGGCAAAAAAGAGTCAACACGTCCCTAAATGCCAAGCATGAGTCAACCTTCGGTTTGGGATTAAGCCAATTCAGAAGCGCAGTCAAACCAAGCGCCCCAGATGAGAAGACTCAATCCATCTCGGATTCACAACATTCGGGCCTCGGTCTTCATCCAGATCAACTGACCGCGCCCAACAAGACACCTGTTGCAGCCCCGGAAGAAAGCGCTGTGATGTTATCGGGCTTAGATTTCACTCGCGATTTGACTCACTGGGTAGTAGTAGTTTATGAACAATTCGCCGGGAGCACCGTGGCTTGCAGCGGCTTGCGTGAGCCCCTTTGCGTGCCCCTCTCTGGCGTGCGTGGTTTTAGTGACGCAATGCTGGACGCTATGGAGAAGTCTGGATGCCTGCGTTCGCATTGGGGATTTCATGATGACTATGAGAATCCTCTAACAATGATAGCCCAAAACACATCGATGTGAGTAACCAGTCTCACCTTGTCGAGCTGCTCTAATGGAGAGAAAGTCGAATTTATTACATCGGTTACCTGCATTTTTGCCCTCCCAATCCCCTTGCAAATTTCCCTTTGCGAATTTGATGAACCGAAAGACAGTGTATCTTGAAGCCGATGCCAATCGTGCCTATTCCTTGTAGGAGTTGACGTGGTAGTTTAGAGAGATATCTGAATTGTGTTTATTGATTCTAGGACCTCATTGAAAAGGAGATGATAATGATTGAACGAACTTGAGAGACGTGCAGGCGCTGCTTATTCATTACCGTACGATACCGCTTACGACGAGACGACCACTCGTCTCATACGGTATTTGAATACAACCCCTTAGGGGTCCCTCACTTAGAGACATCAAGCCACTTTCTACTGTATACGTGTTCCACTTGGATCCTCGCTTTATGATCATATACCAAGAAGAATCTTACCATTGAGAGGAATGGGACATAGTAGGCCGTCGTAGCCCTTGCAGAGCCGTCTCCATTTGTTTCCCTGGGCGCTATTCTTTCGAGCACGGACTTTGAGGATTTTTTTTGCTTCAATATCCTGTTATTGATATTCGTATCAGCTCCGTATCTCTTCGAGTCTTGTCTGTTCTATGCGAGGTTAAATCTTTCCAGTCTCGTGCAAAGTAGCTCAGGCATGGGGATCTGTTTGAAAATGGCGATATTGTCGAGACGTTGTCCGGCACGTGCAAATATGTCTTGGGTGAAGGAGCTTAGGATAACTTGCGCGTCTGAACCCTCCCCCTTCGAACGCGGAAGCAGCACTGAAGAGCCGTCAATCGGCTGCAGACCATTGTCGCCAAATTGGAAATTTCCGGGCTCGGAAGCTGTGCGGTGCGCAGAAGAACGCTGCATAGCTTATCGATTTTCGTGATCTGATCCCAAGCCTGTTTCATGTCCTGGTTCCCCGAGCCTGGTAAAGACGCGTTTGTGAGCAATTGAAGCTCCTTTTCCCGGCGCAATAATATCGCGGGCTTCTTTGCCATTTCCTTGATTGGCCTGAGCTGGGCTTGCTGCCTCATCGGACTTAGCTGGCTGAATGTCTCATTTATTGCAGTTTGCTTTTCTCCTTGATGAGCATCTAGCGTTTCGTTTTGTCTTCCGCCAGCGGCAAGAGACTTCTCTCAGTTCCTGGTTTCTAGGGGAAGCAAACCGCATTGCTCGCATACGAGGATGTCCCCGGGAATTACCTTGTTGGTATACACGTAGGCAGGTCAGAGCTTTCGGTTGCGACGAGGTTGATATTTCGGTCTACTTTGCGCGTATGTTTGAGGGGAAGTTCGTGGGCAGAGCCCGCGATCCCTCAGAGGGTATAAGTGGGTGGAAGGGTCCGTCTGCACGGGCTCAAACCGCCTACCTGCCTCCTCTACCTTACATAACCGTCTACCTAGACCTTTACTTACCTACAAATCCAACAGACCTCTTCCCAATAAGCACGACGTCGATCACCACGGCAGACCAGGCGCAGAACTTCACAAAGGCATGACGTTGCCCCGGGGCTAGTGACGATGATGTCTCGAGGCCCAGCACATTTGATGAGGAAATTGATTCTTCCTCTGTAAGCATTTTTTGACTGATGATGAACAGAAGATGAAGCACGTACTGCGCTCAGTAATCAAGTTCTCAATGTCGCCGGACGAAATCCTCTCAAATTGTAACGTGACGACAGTCACCGAGAATCCAAAGTTTCCATCCAAACATAACGAGGTTAGGTGATCGGAACTGTGAGTCGTCTACATATCAGGCAGTCCCTGATCCTCTACCATCGGCATGCCGGTGGTCCGTTCTCGCACTTTCAAAGACTTGCAATTTGCAAATGCTTCTCACCCGGATGGCTCAAAGAGATGAAGTCGGCGGTGAGCGGGGGACCGACATAGTAAAGTATTTTCCATTCCGGTGAATCATTGGCCGGTCTATCCAGGTAATCCCATATTTCCTCCATTAAGGGTGCTTATGGATGGCACAGGAAAATTGAGAAGTTTGAGATCTGCAGAGCTTGATATCCTGAGATGCGAGCATCCTTTCACGACCGGATCACTGGAGTACTCAATGGCGATTTGGTTACTTTACCTGGCTCATTGGTCTTGGCTGCAGTTCTACTCTAGTCAATTAATCCAAGGCCCTCTATACGGATGTGGCCGCCAAAATGATCATCGTTCATTACTTTTAAATATGTAGTGTGAATCTGTGTCCAATGTTAGCGATGGCCAAGTTGAACTTCGATAAGTCGGAACACCCCCATTCGGCCACCCCAAAAATCCCTCCCAGCCACCCTAATTAAAATCCTACCCTCAATTTACAAACCACCACAACAATTGCAATTATCGTCTAAACGCATTTCTTTTTGTTACGCATGTTCTTTATTATACTATAGTATCGTATACTGAAAATGAAGTCATTCGAGCGCTCGAGGCAATTAGAGGTGGTACCTCAGTCAAGAGGGCCTCGATTGAGTTCGGGATTCCAAGGAGTACACTTCGGAATCGTCAACGAGGTCAACAGGCCAGGGCAATCGCTTTCGCAGACCAGCAGAGGCTTCCCCCCTGGCAGGAAGATAGGCTGGCTGAATGGGTTCGTATTCAGCATGCTCTAGGAGTTGCACCAACCCACGAACAAGTCAGAGAATTCGCTGGGCGAG